ACTACTCACCAGCTGGTACATATAGTCTGTTATATGGAGCAACTGTGGATTAACGTTTGTGTATGGAGTGACACGAAAGCAATGATTAATAAATAGCTCATCAATTTTATTACTTAATAACTATTGTTATTATTATTATTATTATTATTATTATTATTTAGAATTTTAAGTGACAGTACAAGTGGCTGCAGTTGAATACCATAATAGCTGGAAAGTTTCTTGGCCAAAAAATTTTGTGGTTTTTGTGGTTTGGAATGACACCACAAAATTAAAAACCACGAATTATTTGCAGATTAATGAGAGGCATGGAAGCTTCACTGATGATCCACAAAAATATAAACCATGAATAGACCCCATGGCAACCACCAAACCACAAAAGTTTTTGCTGCATATATCCTTGTACACAATTGCATTACACTTGCATGATCTAATAATGTCTAATTAATGTCAGCATTAAAGTTCTTTGTTAATAGAAAAACACTCTATCTTTTATGATATTATAGTCACAATATTCTGTGCATACGTCTTTGTCGTCAATATGTAGATAGAGCTTCATTTTCGTATTAACTAATAACGATTGAAGAATTAGCAATATTCCATCAGACGATATTGAAGTACCTGCTAGATCTAATACTTCTAATATTAAATTCTTGATTAGTTCAGAAAGATTCTGTGAAATAGCAGAGGTAACAAGAGTATTTTTCTGGAAGCTTAATTCTTTAAGTGTATTATTTTGTAGCAATACAGTTATAACATCGGTAACTGCTTTGTCATCAATGGAACAGTTACAAAGATATAAATCTTCTAGCGATTTATTATTAGCCAGTAAGTTACACAAGGATGAAATGCAGTCCTGTGTTAGTTGAGTGTCACGTATTGTCAAGGATCTCATATTTTCATTTTCTAATAAAACTGGCAACAGATCACACACAACGTCAGGAGATGATTTGATTATCCTTATGCTACGATGATTGCTTGTTAATAGAGAAACTACTTCTTGACATTGTATTAAAGATGGAGAGGTCAGTTGAACACCATCATCATACCACCTAATTGCTTTAGGTTTTCGTGAATGCATAGATAATTATAATTATTAGTACATATAAATATATCTTACCATGTTCTTTTTTTCTAAGTTGATCTAGCAGAACTGAATCTTGTTTAATTAATGATAAAAAGAGACTTGCTCTCTCAACGTTGCTCCTCGTCTTAATTTCCTTGATTTTAGGTATGTCAACATTTTCTGTCATTGCATAATGAAATAGTTCAAGTGATTCCAATGTTGACAGTTCACTCTCTTCATCTTTTTTAATATCAATAATATTAACAATTCCCTCTTGATCAGTATCTAATGATCTTGCTAACCACCATTCACTAGTACGCTCTTCCTTGATCTGAAGTTTCTCTCCTT